GCCCTAAGGAGGGAAAAAGCCCTTCGTGTTCGTGTTTTGGTAGTAACCAGCACTTGATGATTGCACACATGTGCAGAACCTTTAAGGAAAGGGTACTGTCTAGGGGAATTATCTCCTGCTGGGAAATAGGAAGAGATGGTGTTCAGGAGTCAGGAGGACTCCCTCAGAAGTCAAAGTGGATTTAGGTGGCAGGGCAGCCTTCACAAATTTTGGGGCCCCTTACACAACTTTAGGCCTGACCCCCCCAGTCTTTTTTACCCGGCTGTCCCATCGAGTCCGCCCACCGGCCGTCCCTCCGGCACTGTTACAACTTAATATATGAAGTCGAAATTAGGGCTGCAGCGAAAGATTAATTTTTAAAATCGATTAGTTAGCCGATTATTAAGTTCGATTAATCGGATTAGAAAAAAAAGGCTCCAGTGATGGACTACTAGTTTGTACTGATGATTGTAGTCCATCACGGGAGCAAGCTTGGAGTGGTGGAAGTAAAAAAAAGTGTGGTGTGCAATATAGTACATTATACAGCATTGCAATGCAGAATACCAGCAGCTATAGAGGAATACAAAAAATCCCAGCAATAGTACATTATACTATAATGTATTATTGCTGGGATCTGATGTATTCCTCTATAGCTGGTGTTATTGGAGAGGGGGGTATGATTCAGGAATAGGGAGGACGGGTATGATGCCGGAATAAAGAGGGCGGGTATGATGGTGGAATGGGGTGCAGAGGACGGGTATGATGGTGGAATGGGGTGCAGAGGACGGGTATGATGGTTGAATGGAGTGCAGGGAAGGAGAGGACGGGTATGATGGTTGAATGGAGTGCAGGGAAGGAGAGGACGGGTATGATGGTGGAATGGATTATGTTGATGGAATGGAGTGCAGGGATGAAGAGGACGGGTATGATGGTGGGATGGGGTGCAGAGGACGGGTATGATGGTGGAATGGAGAGGACGGGTATGATGATGGAATGGAAAGGACGGGTATGTTGATGGAATGGAGAGGACGGGTATGTTGATGGAATGGAGAGGACGGGTATGTTGATGGAATGGAGAGGACGGGTATGTTGATGGAATGGAGAGGACGGGTATGTTGATGGAATGGAGAGGACGGGTATGTTGATGGAATGGAGAGGACGGGTATGTTGATGGAATGGAGAGGACGGGTATGTTGATGGAATGGAGAGGACGGGTATGTTGATGGAATGGAGAGGACGGGTATGTTGATGGAATGGAGAGGACGGGTATGTTGATGGAATGGAGAGGACGGGTATGTTGATGGAATGGAGAGGACGGGTATGTTGATGGAATGGAGAGGACGGGTATGTTGATGGAATGGAGAGGACGGTTATGTTGATGGAATGGAGTGCAGGGATGAAGAGGACGGGTATGATGGTGGGATGGGGTGCAGAGGATGGGTGTGATGCAGGAATAGAGAGGACGGGTTTGATGCAGGAATAGAGAGGACGGGTATGATGGTGGAATGGAATGGCGAGGACGGGTATGATGGTTGAATGGAGAGGACGGGTATGATGGTGGAATGGAGTGCAGGGATGGAGAGGACGGGTATGATGCTGGAATGGAGTGCAGGGATGGAGAGGACGATTATGATGGTGGGATGGGGTGCAGAGGACGGGTATGATAGTGCGATGGGGTGCAGAGGACGGGTATGATGGTGGTATGGGGTGCAGAGGACGGGTATGATGATGGAATGGAGTGCAGAGATGGAGAGGATGGGTATGATGGTGGGATGGGGTGCAGAGGATGGTTATGATGATGAAATGGAGTGCAGGGATGGAGACGACGGGTATGATGGTGGGATGGGGTGCAGAGGACGGGTATGATGGTGTGCAGGAGTTTACATGCAACTGCTGTCACCTGATCATTAACTTGAATAGGTGACAGCTGACGATTTTAAATGCCACATTAGGGATTCCTGATGCAGGAAACGCATGTTCCTGATGCAGCAATCCCTAATTGCTCCTAAAGACACAGGTGTGAATGCAGCCTAATACACTTATACTCTTCCCTCCCCCCCTCACATAAAAAAAAACCTATCCCTGCACATAAAATAATTCCCCCATACACACAGGCATATATATATATTAAAAAAACATTGCTGTTTCCCTGAATACAGAGGAGCAACAGCAGAGGAGAGCAGCTTGTTTTTCTTTGCTCAATCTATACCCCCTTCCCCATCTCAGTGTCTGTCGTTTTCTCTCCCTCTTCCCCCCCCCTCCTCTCTGAGGGGAGGGGGGAAAGAGTGAGACACAGACCGACCATGCTGAGAGGAGGGAGGGAAGCATGAGAGAGTCCGACCGACGCTAAGAAGCTGTCAGCTAAGAAGCTCTCAGCGTCGATCTGTCTCTCTCTCCCCTCAGTCTCTGTCTGTTACATCCCCACCATCCCTGGGGCCTCTCTCGGTTGACTCTGCAGTATATCAATCTAGTATATCTGGAATGGAGTCCAGCACCACCAGGGGGAAACACTTACCTTTCCCATCCAGGCAGTCGGACTCGGCAGGTGGCGGCAGACATGCTCGTCTTCTTCCTCCGCGCTTCTGCACGGGCAAACTAAGCTCCGCCCCCTGTAGGCACTAAGCTCAGGGGAAGATACCAATAGCGCAGGGGGGCCCGGACCAGGCAAATGTAACTGTTAATATAATTCAATACGAAAAAATTATGGCTTGGAGCTACGGGCCCCCCTAGCGGCTGGGGCCCCTGACAATGGTATCGGCCGTACCCCCCTGACGGCGACCCTGTCAGGTGGTGTGTGTGCTGGAGGCACATGAAGACAGCCAAGAAGGCTGGGAGAACTGGTGAGGCTGAGAGAGTCGAGAGCCTGTACAAGTGTGGAAGAGCACTACAGACAGGACCGGTGGATCAGAGTTAATAATGTTAAGAGTGGAAGCCAGGAGGCTGTACTTATGTTGTGTTGCAAGCAGTGCATGGATGCTGTACTCAACAACCCCTGCAAGGGTATCCAAGGGCTATGTGTGAACTTTCATTTAAATAAAAGTTGGCTAACAAGAACTTAAAATAAAGATATTGCGAGTGGACTGCATCCTTAACACGCCAACCATATGTGCTAATATCCCCAAACATCACAATATATATTGTATATGTTATAAAAAATATTGAGGTTTTTTTTTAAATATATGAATAGGATTAAGTTTTAAAATTATACAGTATATGTATTAAACATTGCACATTAAAATACAAACCTTTTTTTTTTTTCTTTCATAGGGGTCCTGGAGGCAGAGGTCCTTGGCCAAACCCCAATGCAAATTCAGTAAGAATCTAAATTGTTTAAGAAGAATAATATCTCTTTTTTGTATAGACACCTGTCATTAGCCACCTGTGTTATTTGAATTGCAATGCTGTTTACATCAAAATAACAATATGTGCCAATAGAACTAGTAAATAACTAGTGTGGTTGTCCTATGTTATTTTTAAGCTCATTCTGTAATTAACAGTTTTGCTGAGCTTTTGTGGATCAGACCACATTAGCAATTTAGTACTATGTGTAAATTATATATTACCATCTTCTGGTTTGAAAAGGAAGCAGGCTTCCTGTACTACTGGGTTTGCCATGACTTTATAGATGCTTGTTATACACCACAGATTAAAAATGTATATTCATTTTCCCCAGTTGTGAAAATACGCAGTTTTGTGGGATGCAATTAGTATTTACTAATACAATTACTAATATTTATTTCACAAAAAAACTTTTAATACATGGTACACCTATGTCACAGAGCACAATGAGGGGAATGTATCAAAACTGGAGCAGACAAAACCTGGAGCAGCTGTGCATGGCAACCAATCAGCTTCTCTCATTTTCAAATCTTAACTGAGCAAACTGAAGAGAGTAGCTGATTGGTTACCATGGGCAACTGCTCCAAATTTTGTCCGCTCAAGTTTTGATCAATTCCCCCAATGGGTTTTCTACAGACAGGGCACAGCTGGTGCTGTTTGCTTTTGGAGTATCACTCTCGCATCAAAAACATTTTTGGGGCAGGGGTGAGTTACTCCACTGACTCAATCAGTTGTGTAAATACATTTGAGCTCCAAGGTATTGAGATCTGTAAAATGTTTTCTTATAACAAAGCCGCTAAGGTCAGCTTGGAAAACATGTAAAAGAAGCCTAGAGCTCCACCTTTAAAATGTAAATATCAAATATTCATGTGCAATATTTCATACCTGAAAAAAGGAGAAAACATATAGAATAAATTAAATGCTATAAAACTATATTGTTTTCCTCTCTTCTCCATATTCAGATAGCATATTCATCGTCGTCACCAGGAAACTACGTGGTAAGAGGGTTTTTTGTTTTGTTTGTTTTTTAAGTCAGTACAACTTGCTTACATAATTTTTACTTCCATTTTGCCAGTGGCAGATTCTGCCTCTGGTGGTCTAACTCTCGCAATCCCATCTGTTCTGTAACATCTCATCATTTCACCCGAGCACCCAGCTCCCTCTGTTGTATACCAGTCCCCAACTGCTCTTTGCCACTTTATTTCTCCCTGACATCCAACCGCTCTCCCTCCTTGCCAGTTTGTGATCAGGGAAGGATTGGTATTCTCAGTAATCCAGCTGGCCATGAGGATGATGAATTGCCTTTCCACTGGTGCAGCCATCTCCTCCTTAGCCTACACTTGAAAGAGTGACCCCCTTTCCATGTTGACAGACAGAAGCAGCTGGCAGAGGGAGGGCTGAAGAGCAGCATGCCTAGACAACAGGAGCAGCTGTTAACCCACCCCCATCTTAGCACATTTTTCCATGGCCAACTCAATCCCCTTCACAGTTTATCCCTCGAAACCACCCTGTGATTGGAGTGCATGTCTCTACTTCCCGCACCCCATTGTGCCTCACTGCAACCATGCATGCTCTCAGAACATGGGGCCATCCCCCTACTACCACCACGTACGTGGTAGCCACCTTGCAACTTGTTGACCCCTACTCTCTCACCCACCTCATCCCCCAGTCACAATGCCCTGCTCCCGCCCACATTGCCCCCCGCTCACAGCAACCACCTCCAACCTTCCTTGTCCCTAGCTCACAGTGCCTCCCTTTCACCCTCCTTGACCCTTCTTTTATAGTCCACCCTCCTTGACCCTCCCAACAAATCCAATTTGACAGTTGGCACTGGCATTCTGGAATGGACACACTTTTGCAAGTCAATATTAACACTTGCTTTTACAGCATTATTGGTGAATAACAAGTCATATTTGTTTTATTTAGGGACCTCCAGGTGGTGGGGGGCCTCCAGGAACACCCATAATGCCCAGCCCAGGAGGTAATAAACAAGGACAAAAATCAGTAGTATTAATGTAGAATGCTAATTAAAACTTTTTTTCTAGTGTGGGAGGGTTGAAACCTCTGTCTGAGTCAGTCCCCGTTGTCACAAAGATACAACATGCAGAGGGAAATTAATTTCCCTGCACCATTTTCCTTCACTTTCTCTCCTGATGAATTTTAAGTCATAAGACCCATCCTTCCTGCACCGCAGTGCACAATCCTAAAAATTCTTGTGAGTTGTGAAAAAGGTGTAGCTTTGTGAACAGATAATTACAATGGCAGTGAGATACGTTACTTTTTTATAAAGTAAGCTTAAAAACATTGACTTCAATCAACTTCTACCTCTGCTAATGCTGTTGATTCAAAAAAGGCCCAACAAAACCCCATAGTAAGGCAGCTGACAATTTCTGCTCACATTGGGACTAAAAAAAACTTTGGGGGTTATTCACAAAGCATGAATAAAGTGAATAACCCAGCCGAAGTGAAGAGAGCCAAACAGTACGAAGTGCAGAGAGACTTTGACTTAGTCGATCCAACATCTATTCTCAAAGGGGCCGAACGGCAGTGAGTGAATAGCCGACTATTCTGCTCGGTACCTCCAAGCTACCGAGCAGAATAGAAAGTAAGTGAGATGGAAAAAAAAAGAGTTGAATTTTTTTAACATATAAATAAATAGGAAAATTAAAAAATAAATAAAGATATTTTAAAGAAGAAAAAAAAGAAAAACAATTGGGCGGAGCTAGTGGTGACAGCAAGCTCCGCCCAACTGTTTCCTATTGGCCGGGAACCTTCCAGAGTCTTCCAGCATGTCCCGGTCAATGAATAACATTGTGACGTCACGGCCGCCTTATTATTTAATGACAGATCAGCATCCCCAGGTCATTTGGGGACGCTGATCTATCTATTACGAATAGTCTGTACAGCAGCCCTTCGGTTCGACTGAACTGAAGGGCAGAGGCGGCTGAAGAGAGCCGAAGGATCAGCCGCAGCTATGGCTGTATCCTTCAGCTCCATAGTGAATAACCCCCTTTGTAAGAGAAAGTCACATTATTCAGTTGTATCAATTCCCTACTGATAAGCTTTTGCTGAAATGGCTTAATATCTGCCCATGCATTTTGGGGTACATAAAGTTATTTTACATATTCATGCCAGGTTTAGTTGTTGCATGCACTATTTTTAGCGATCGCACAGCACCGGACCACAGGCATTGCTGTACCACACTTTCTGGTGTACGGGCGATTGTACTCTGGGTGGGAGATGTGGCTGCTGTGCCATTGGCATGAATGGCACCACTATGACCCCTCCTGCCCCAGAACGTAGGAGACTTTAATTATCAGAACACACCGGAACACACTGGATGTGGTGTGAACTGGCCTGGACTCTGGGGCACAACGGAGAAAGGAAAAAGAAGGCCCACTGCGCACTATACCTGAAAATTTGGTGTGGTTAGAAAGTGCTGCATATTGCCCATGAGTTAGAGGGGCATAGTTAAACAGAGTCTGAGCCTACTCACAATACACACTGCACACATTTGGCACTTTGCTTGTGCCCACAAAATACTCTGTAATAACTTAAATATTTTAATTATTAGTCAGTAAATGAGATTACTTTAGGATTTTCACTTGCTAAAGAAGATGACTACCCAAATCCAAGCGTTAACAGTCCATAAATGAGTGACTGAATGCAAAATAAATTATACCATTCTTACTGTGCACCAGTATATAGTTTTAAGCCAGCCAGCTCAGCAGTGCAAGCCCCGTCTCCAGCAGCTCCCAGTGCACGCCTGGTACAGTAGATTAATCAGTAGATAGGCATGCACTGTATATAAACATGTACAAAAAAGACACAGCTACATGCATTCTAATGTTGCATTTTTGTATAATGTATTTGCATTAGTTCTATCAGCTCTGGGTTATACATTTAGGCCTCATGCATACATAACGCAAGAGCAAAATTGTATATTGCATATATATACGTATCTGCGCGTATGCTCATATATGCGTGCACTATATGCAATCCCAGAATGCATCATTCATAATAGAAATTTTAATGAACTGTACGCGCGCGCGCGCGCACCCACATGCGTATTTGAGTGTAAAATATGCAGCAATACGTTTCCCGGACGCATCTCAATCCATTCTGTTTTTGTGCATTTTTATGCAGCACAAATATGCGGCTCCATACACAGCTATGTGTATGGAGCCATTTTTTTGCATATGCTGGATATGGGACAATACGCGCATACTCGCATATACGCAGCGTATTGTACGGCAGTGTGAATGAGGCCTAACAGTGAGCTATAGTATAAAATCATTGACTTCAAACAGTGTTTTACCAGCTATAAAATATGGTCTAACATTTTTTTTCATCTACTTTTATGTAGATTCAACAAACTCAAGTGAGAACATGTACACAATGATGAACCCAATAGGACCTGGTGGAAGCAGACCAAACGTAAGTAAAAGTCTTTTGTGTCCATCAAAGAGACAGAAAACTAAAGCAATGGTGGTTTTACAGACAATGTTGGAAGGGAAGGATGTGAAGCTATGTCTGCCTATATGTGATATGATTTGGAAACCAGCTGCCACATTTCTATCATCTTGACGTCATGTAATATTGAACCAGGAATGCAGTTATTTCAAAGCAATTTAAAGTGTGTTTTTTTTGTATTTATTTTTTTATGTTGAGTGAGCATGTAGAAAGCAGAAAGGAATATGTATTTTGAATTTAGAAATTGTTAAAGATAAACTACAGTCCAATATATAATTCATATTGTGTTTATTTTTTTGTATAGAATCTTTATTTTACTAATAGCCACATATTACTGGATGGATCCATAACACTGCATTTGCCGACTATGTTGGGCTCTCTGATAAGACAGCCTAGCACTGTCTGCATTCTTTTTGGCTGCCTGGGTGAACTGAATAATTAAGATGTTGTTTTTTCTGCTAGGAGAGAGGGAAACGGTTGCACACCAGCTCACATCAGATCCTTCAAAAAACATAACCTTCAAGTTATAAATTAGAAATATTGCAATATTTCATATTAATTGAAAAAATAAATAAAAACATGTTTATGTATTTTAATTATTTTACTAAACATAGAAAATAAACCACCAATGCCCTTATTTTTTTTTCTTCCTTTTTACAGTAATATAGTTCAAAGTTTACTTGATAAATTACTTTCTGCTCCTGTTTATATCATCTTATTGTATATTTGTCTATACATACATATATTGTATTTTATTGTTTCGCTAAACTTGATGGACTTGTGTCTATGACTGACTATGTAACTGTATATACTATACATATAACATTTATATCATACTACAACTACCCATAACTTTGAATAATATAAAGTTCTGACAGGTAAAAGATTTGAACTTGCTTTTTTTGCAGTTTCCAATGGGCCCAGGTCCTGATGGCCCAATGGGAGCATTGGGTGCAATGGAACCTCATCATATGAATGGGTCACTAGGTAAGCAGTAAGCACCATTAAAGAACAATTTGTGTGAAAGAATAGTGTTCATGTAACAGAATGTTTTGCTGCCTGAATTATTTCTAGTCAATGAAAACAACTAAGATTATAAAAAGTAAAGGGCATGCATTATATAACTACTATTTTTTTTTTTTAATACCACATTTTAATTTAGCATTGTGTAAATTCAATTGACTTCCACAATGTAAAAAAAACTGGACTCATGCTATGCTATAGCTACTTCTATAGCCTGTAATATTGTATATTTGGATGTAAATCTGATAATCAGGGGCTGACTGGCAACTTTTAGCCCAGGGGGCAAGTACAACCCAGAGGCCCATGGTGCGGCAACTTGGCCCCCCTCCCGCTCTGCCTCTTCCCCGGACGCCCCTGTCTGCCACTTTTGCCATCCTTGTAACAGTAGTGTGAATGTATTTATCGGTTTAGGAAAATACAGTGTATTCATTCGATAAAACAGTGTTCTGCCTCATGTACCTGCCCCCTTAGCTCTGGTCCACATTTACCTATAGTATGAACATGAACTTGTCCATGATGTCGGGGAATAAAATGTGAGGCAAAAAAATGAGCAATGGGCCACATGAAAAGGAAAAGAAAGAGAAATTGTGAGATTGACATTGAATGCATATTAACATAGCTCAATCATATAGTAAGAAGCAGTGGTATAGATAATCACTTGATCAGTTAAAATAAAGGAATAAAAATAGAAACACAAAGAAACTATAGCAAACTCAGTAAACCAAAATTATACAACTTGTGTAAGAAGCAGTGCAACTGTGACATCTAGTGGCAACTAAATCTAAATACAGTTGAATGACAGATTGGTTACTTGTTTGATCAGTACATTTCCATGTAGTTAGAGTTACTTATCAGGTAAAATATATACAATAATTAATAATTAAACAACATTTATATTTTCATAAAAACATCTAAAATATGTATCATTGTATTTTAGGCTCTGGAGACATGGATGTGTTGCCAAAGGTAATGAAAATGTCTGCATTTTTGTGTGTCTTTTCATTTAATATATATTTACATTTTATTACATATAAAATAAAATTTTAAGGTATTTTCTGAATACAAT